GTGCCAAAGCAAACGGTGCTGACATCGCATGGTACAAACTGCATCGTGTCGTAGATGGCCATTCCCGCGCTCACAGACCCGCCCGGCGAGTTGATGTACAGGGTGATATCTTTTGTAGGGTCATCATTCGCGAGGTAGAGCAGCTGTGCGACGAGCACGTTCGCAACCTCGTCATCGACGCCCCGTCCCAAGAGTAGAATTCGGTCCCGGAGGAGACGGGATATTACGTCCATCTGGCCATCGCCTGTGTCCACCATAGGCATTCGCACAGGTGGGATGCTCGGTTTTTCAGGATCCCGTCGTCGCGGGTCCACCTAACGGAAGTGATGTCACGCAGAAATAAGTCGCACGAAGACAGTCACCTCGGGAGGGTCATCCGGCGATGGCATCATAGTCGGCGCAGCGGACAACTTAATCCCCGAGCGCGCGATCGGGGATGACTTTATAAGCGACGACGCCGAAAGAGCAATTAAACGAGGCTGCACAAACGCTGTGACGACGCCCGCATAGGCAAGGAGCAACGCGCGCATGTCAGCGAGTTCCCCTAAGAGGTACGGCACCTTCGGCCCCTTTTAATGCCCGCCGCTTTTCATGCGGGCCAGGACGCTAGAATGGCCTACCCGCGGCCCAGAACAGGGGGAGCCCCATAGGTGTTACCTCTGGAGTTAGGGGAGGGAGGATACTCCCGGATACCGGGCCGGTGGCCCGTTGGGGGAAGCCCGAGGGGGCTTCTCTGCTCCCCCGCCGCGGGGAGAACCGCGAAGCGCGCAGTGCGCACGGTCGTCACAGGCCCAGCCAGGCCAAAAAACGCGAGGTCACTTTCCGCGACGAATCGGGACGAACCCCATACGCCTAAATACATTTCGGAGACTCTGAATTCATTTTCGACATCCTTGGTACCGTGTAAGACGACCTCGCGGAAGCGCGCGCGTGCGCGCGCGGCCGAAAATCCAAAAAAAATAAAATAAAATACACCGTCGACGAGCTGCGGTACGCCCCCGGTACCGCCGCCTTTCCTCACGGAACGCCCAGGGACGTGTCCGGGCGCCGGGCCGTGGTCAAGGGCAGCTGATTCTGGTCACAGGCGTCCAAAATGCGAGGTTTTCTTCAAAGTTTGTCGTCGCTTCGGCATCTAAATGGATTTTTAGCCGTCTTTTTTCCAATGACGGGCTGCCTCGACGCGCTGCGGCGCCCCTCGGCGCCCGAAAGCGCTGCGTCTTGCGCTTGCGCCACGCGTGCAAGCTGCCGCGTGGCTGCCCGATCCCCAGGCCATCGTGTGCCGCGCGGTGGGCGCGCGGCGGAGCGGCGGCGGCTGTGGCGCCGCGCTCTTGTTGTAGCGCTGCGTGTGCAGGCTCTGCGTGATGCGCAGGTATGTGTAGGTAGCAGGTTAGCTTCACAGGTAGTAGCGCTGTGGGAGCATGACCCAGATGAGGTGAACCATAGCACAGGCGTTATAGGCCAGGTTAAGGGGGAGGAGGATACGGGGGATTGGTATCCTAGGGGATGACGCTGGGGGATTGGGTCATCTGGTCGAGGATCTCGCTTTAGTGCGCGTGCGACGGCCGCGTGTCGCGCCCGCGCGGGACCGCGCGGCGCATTACGACGGTCGGCCAACTACGGTCGGCACGCGTGCGGGGGCGCCCCCGCGCTCGCGCACGCCCCGGGCGGGTCCCCGGGGACCCCCTGGACCCTCCGCGGCCCACAGCGCCAAAAAAAAAAAAAGTAAAAAAAAAGGCTACATAGCCCGAGGGGCCAAAATTAACCCCGATCTGCTTTAGCAAGAGCGGCCCGTTTTAATCTTTACCCTAGCCGTCGGGAATCCGCGTGCGGATTTGTTTTTGGTGAACTTTGGGCAGCCACGAGCATGGTTTTGCAGCCACGAGCATGGTTTTGCACGAGACCTTGACGCAAGCTGCACTGGGACGTCCTCTCGGGGCGCGTGGCCTTTGAACCGCTCAAAATTCCATTTTCGGCGCGCTGAGTATACGACGATGTCCCGCGCGACGCGGGTGGCCCCGGGGCGGCTCTTCCCATGTACTCTTGCACCTTTGGCACGTACCAGCACGGGAGGAGCCAGGCCACACGGAGCTGGCACCTCAGGCTTCGGGGATAAACACGGGCTCCGCAGCGAGGCCTGCAATAGCGAGGTCATGAGAGTGCTGGAGGATGCTTCTGTTTGGGTCTTGTGTGGGATGGCCGCAGTAGTTGGAATGTAGTCGTACGTTTCTTGATAAGGGTTGCGCATGGTCCAAGGGCAGTGCACCAAAAGAAGAGTGCCCTTGCATTGTGGGCGCTGCCAGAGAGAGCTCATCGCCGACGTGGCAAATGCGACCGCGAACTTGTGAGGCCGCCTCATCGGTGAAATTCAGGTTCCTTATCGCACTATAGGAATGAGGATAATCATGACCAAAATTCTCAGGCTGAGCGACTCGCACAACGTACAGGCTGCTGGTGTCGTTCACGTTTGATTCGACGTCCCAAGGGCACAGCGCGTCCGATGGCGATGGGCTATTATGCTGAAGTGCACGCTTGTGCTCGCACGCATGGCGGGGCACATCGCCGGCGACGTGCTCTGCATCGCAGGCGGCACGCCGTGTCGCCTTTACAACGATGTCGATCCTTGCTGCGGATTCGGCCGGCGTTGCCACAGCTGCGACAGAATTATTGTTCCGCCTCTTTACCGCAGCAACCTTAGAAGCAGACACTATCTGACGTTTCAGAGATAATGCAGCAGACCTCGTCTTTGTGGCGGCTCCTATTGGCGTGGCGGGTCTGGTCCGACCAGCGAGCGAGAATTCTCCATGGCAACCACCTCGATACGTGCGGAGCGACACGCTATGAAGCAGCTGTTCTGTGCTCATCCGCCCTGCGCCCCTTGCTTTGGCTTCGCACATGCTTGCCTGTGTGACGGTCCGACGTCGCCGCCCTGTTGGGCGTGCCCTAGCCTCATAATTTTTTTCGTTCCGCATGTCAATATCTTGCTTGGCATCTCGTAATTCATCAATGATAGCACGATGACGTTCCGCATCCCAGCCTGAGATAGCATCTAAGATAGATCGCCTTCCGCCGGCGATTCGACACGCGTGGGACGACGCCGCACTAGCGATGCCCAACGGAGCAACCATTGCAAGACGATTCAGGTGTGCGTACCCATCGCATAGTTCTCGCATCTTCACCTCAAGAGTGTGCGATAAGGACTCGGCGTCCTGTCCTATCACACCAGCTTGATTCGTTAACATGGGCGCGATCTCCAGAAACCTCGAGTAGTCAAGCCCTTCCTTGTCGAGACGAGCATCGCGTGGTCCGAGTTTGATACTAGAGAAGCACGCACACTCGCCGTCGGGGACCTGCGACATGGTTTTTGAAAATCAGGCTGATATGGACACTTATAAATGAAGCACAATTTCCCTTTTCAACACGGGGGCCGAATTTGGCGGCGCCGAGCGCGTCGGTAGAGGCCGTTTCCGACGCGTTTTTTTTGTCTGGTGGCCCAGAGGGGACCTTCGTCGTGGACTAGAGGCCGGCCACTAAAAATTTTCGCGCGCGCGCAGCGCCATTTTTGGCGATCGAAAATCGGTTTTTTGCCACAGTCGCATGAAAAGGGGCGCAGAGCCAGATTGCGGCCTTGTCCGTGCCTCTGGCTGTGCTCGTGCGGTTTTGGCTAGTCGGCCACGTCGAATACGCGCCTAGGGTACGCCGGGGGAGTTTCCGCGGTCGCGGCGGCCCTATACCCGCGAGTTTACGCTCGCCAACGTAGCCTGCGAGAGGCGTGGCTGGCCAGCAGTGTGAAACACCAATTGCGCTGATGTTCCGGCCCTGATGTTCCGGTAGAGGTCTCGCGGATGTTCCGGCTTCCGGCTCTCCCGGGCCCCTCGGTCGCGTGTTCCGGTTAGCGTCCTCCGGTCGTGTTCCGGCGCGTTCCGGCGTGTTCCGGTGTTCCGGCTACTCGGTGGGCGGCTTCCTTACAACCTAATTTCCGGCGAGCGACGCGCGGGCCGCCTGCGGTTCGAGAGGCGCCCAACGGTGGTCAGGCGCGAGTTCTGCCGTTCGGCAAGACCTGGCGACCTCGGTTCAGCGCTGCTCGTCGGCCGGCTGGGTCGTCGGCGTGGCCGCCTTCTTGGACTTCTTCGCCGGGTCCGACGCGGTCTATCCACGTCCTCGTCGTCGCTGTCCTCGTCCATGTCCTCGACCACGACCTCCTCCTCCTCTTCCTCCTCCTCCTCGTCCGCGTCTGCGTCCGCGTCCGCGTCCGGCCGGCGGCGCGCGCGCGCGCGGGGCCCCTCGGCGTCCACGTCCTCGTCGTTGCTGTCCTCGTCCATCGATTCGCGCGCGGCGACGCGCTCCTCGACCTCGTCGTCGCCGTCGAAGCAGTAGCCCGCGGCGTCCTCGTCCTCGAAGTCCGAGAGCACGAAGTCCGACATGTTCCGGCGCGCGCCGCGCGCGTGTGCCGGCAGGAGGCTGTGTTCCGGAGCGCGCGACTCCCGGCGCGTTCCGGCCGTTCCGGCGTACCGGCGCAGCCCCCAGACGCTGTTCCGGCGACGCACGTCCTCGAATTTAGCGGACACTGTTCCGGAACACAAAACCTCAACTTCGCATGTTTCCCGCGGTCGTCGGCGCCCCTTTATTGGCGATCCTTTAAGTTCGGCGCGAGCCCGTACTTCCCGAACTGGGGTGCCCCTTCAAACTCGGCCATCTTGCCCGCGCGCGCAGCTCCTGAAAAAAATTGGTGCTTCACACTGCTGGCCAGAAGTCCGCAGCCTGCGTCGGGACGCGCGCGCGTTGCCCGGAAGGCTGCGAGGCTGTGTTTGGAAGCTTAGGACGTCTCGATTCACGTGCTAGTGGGAAGGGGCGTCAGCGGAATGGGCGTCGAGGCCCCTGGGCCACCCGCCGCGTCACCGGAATGGCGCGGCGGGTCTTTCGGTTGAACGGGCCAGGGGACTGTGTGGTCCTCGTAAGGGACCACGATGAGAATAGAGCAGGATCTGGCTGAGAAGGTGATGATGGAGGGGCAAGCCTAGATCTTGGAGATGCCGCCGCTCCTCGAGATCGACATCTTTCCCGAGGGCGATTTCGCTGGCGTTCGCGGGGGCCGTGGTCACCGAAATCGCCTCCATCGTGCTCATCCAAAATCCGCACCATCGTTGGGTCCGTATCCTTCTCGCCAGGGGTTGGAAGGGTACTTGAGTCTGAGCAAGTTCTGACCCCTTTGGCCCAAATGGATATCCGCCTGTGGCCATGCGCTGCCCGACTAACTACGCCGTTTCGAGTTTCACGGACACGGACGGGACCAGACAGAGCCACCCACGTGACTTTCCCGCCGCCCCACGGCTAGCTGGCCACGGTGCTTCCCGCAAGTTGAGGTTGGTGTTTACCCTGGATTGTCCCGTAATCCTCCGTATAACCTATAGGCCGCGTGTGCTCTTGTGCATGCGGCTTCCCCGACGCTAAATCCCAAATAATAATAATAATAATATAATAATAGCCACGAAATAATCCTCGAGCTTAGTTAGGACATGGTTTAGTATCGGACTAGGCTTATAAAGTCTAGGCCGTGCGCTAAATGGATCATGTTCCTCGGGTGGGAACTATCATATTGGAGGCAAATCGCATGAACAAGGTTCATTAGCCGTCGCGATCCATTAGCACTCATTTTTGGTGTGTAGATGGGTCGTTATGAGGAATGTGTGCCGAAGTATCTCGATGCGCTTTCAATGGATATGGACAACCGATCGAGGTTTGTCATTCTGGTCAATCTAGGAACTGTATACCTGACCCTGGGAAACATTGACAAGCTCGTAACAAAACAACGAAGGGGGGAAGCCATCCAAGCCTGGGTCGATGCCCTAGAATTTGATGAGGGTGGTAGCGATCGGTCAAAGGTAGCACTGGATACAGGAAATTTGTGCCTCGAAGATAACATGTGTGTCATGCGTTTCATTATAGCTAGACAACCTGAATATTAGCTGCGTAGGTTCCAAAAAGCCGCAGTCATGTACCGAAAGTGCATCGAGTATGACGACCCAGTAACCGGCCTCTCCAAGCTCGCCCATGAGAAGTTGGGCTCTACGAATCGACTCATCGGCAACATGAAGCACAATATGCGAGTCTCGACACGCTCCGGCACATCGAGCCCGGCGAACCGAAAAACTGCTTCTGGGGACACCTCAGGAAGCAGCCCGGTCACTGTGAAGTCACTCCGCATCTTAGGCCCACAAGACACAGCCATCGCAGGTTGAAGGAAACGGAAATGCGAATTGCAGTAGGGCCCCATGCAGAGCGGTGGGGACTATCTGCGTTGAGCTAGTCGCGCCGGGATATTATGCGGAAAGGTAGTGTAACATCGCACGAACAAGACCCGGCCCATGGCTCGATGCTTTTTTTCAGCGTACTTGGCTTTCGGTAAAAAAAGATATAACCCGATGTCGATGGATAAGGCGCGAAGCCGTATTAAGGTGCCTAAGGTGCGCATACATACGCCGCCCACGTGGCATATGCGGCGGGGGAGCAGATGCCCAAATCCCCCAACGTTATCGCCTAGGATACACATCCCCCGTATCCTCCCCCGAGTCCTTCCTAACATAAGCTCACAACGCCAGTGCTATTGTCCACCTGATCTGCGCGGCACGCACCGTCGCGCGGGGGCCCCTGGCCCGGGGGCCGGGGGGTTTCAAGTTGGTAAACTTCAGATGACCCAATTCCCCCAGCGTCATCCCCTAGGATACGAATCCCCCGTATCCTCCTCCTCCTTAACCTAGCCTATAACGCCAGTGCTATGGTTCACCTGACCTGGGTCATGCTCCCACAGCGCTACTAGTACTACCTGTGAAGCCCAGCCTGCCAATCATACCTGCGCATCACGCAGAGCCTGCACACGCAGCGCTACAAAAAGAGCGCGGCGCCACAGCCGCCGCTCCGCCGCGCGCCCACCGCGCGGCAGCGCGCGCTCCGCGCACTACACCATCGCGGCCCCGCCCGCCCCGGCCCCGCCCGCCCCGGCCACCCCGCCAGCGGCTGCGCCGCGCGGAGGAGCTCCAGGCGCTCCAGGACCTGAAGAGCGCCCTCAACCTACCCCACGTCGCCCGACAATGGCGACCGTCGACGAGGAGTCCAGACGCCAATACCGCGACGTGGCTCCATTCAACCCGACGTCCCAGGACCGGGCGCAGAACACACAGGTGTTCGTGATCTTCCTGCAGAAGGTCAGCCAGGTCCAGCCGATCTTGCGCGTCCTGTCGCGCATCGTCACGACCTGTCCGAGTCTCGCGCTCTCAGCGCGCTAGCCTAGGATGCCCTAGGAACCTCGAATATACTCGCCGGCGATCAATATCGCGATAGAGCTCGCCAACCGATAGTAGATCATGCCGCACAGCTTTGGGTATCGGGCCCGCACCCGCGACATGTTCTCGCGGCCGTTTCGGCAGCGCGGCATGATCAAAATGTCCACTTACCTGACGACCTATAAGATGGGCGACTACGTCGACATCAAATGTAACCCGGCCCAGGTCAAAGGGATGCCGTTCAAGCACTTCCACGGTCGCACGGGCGTCATCTACAATGTCACTAAGCGTGCAGTCGGCGTTCGCATCGCCAAACAGGTCAACGGGCGCATCATCAACAAACATCTCAATGTTCGTGTCGAGCATGTCACACCGTCGAAGTGCCAGAATGACCTGATCGCGCGCGTCGCACGCAACGAGAAGCTCAAAAAGGAGGCAAAACAATCAGGCACCAAAGTCACCCTCAAGCGCCAGCCGACCCAGCCTAAGGCTGGCTTCGTTATCACAGCTTCGGAGGAGCCCACGACAATCCAGCCAATCCCCTTCAGCGACCTTTTCTGAGGTCCCCAAACCAGGCACTCTCCACAAGAGCCGAACTCATCGTCGTCTTGAAGTTTCGCATGTCATTTGGAGACTTGACAATCTTTGAGAACCTGGCATTTATTGAATCGATTTCAGATTGATAGACCGCCCATCGACTCTGCCAGACGTCGTTCGAGCCTTCTACGGTG